ACTCCAAAACAAAAGTAACTCTTTCATTCTGCTTTACATGTTAATGGATGTTTTTATTGGTCTAATTTGGATCTATCTTACCATTACCAGTCAAATTTCGTGGCTTGTTTTTTAAAGATCAATTGTATCCTTCCCTTGTCTCAGTTTCTAGTATTCTTAATGAATACATTTTATCTCATAGTTTTTTCTTCAAAACCCTACTTATGGCCCTCTGTTGGTTGGGGCTTTTATATCTTAGCGGAAACTCTGAACATTGTGGCATATGCTTTGAAGATTTAACTTTCTTATTGCTTTCATGGGTAAGACTATTACAACATAGATAATTGATTTTTTTTTTTTTTTTTGGGCTTTAGGCTGGCAGACTGGAGAATGTTGTTGGGTGGTATCATTCCCATCCTGGTTATGGATGCTGGCTTTCTGGTATTGATGTTTCGACACAAATGCTTAACCAGCAATATCAGGAGCCTTTCTTGGCAGTCGTTATTGATCCTACAAGGACAGTGTCTGCTGGAAAAGTGGAAATCGGTGCATTCAGGACCTACCCAGAAGGATATAAGCCTCCAGATGAGCCTGTTTCTGAGTATCAAACCATCCCCTTGAACAAAATTGAAGACTTTGGTGTACATTGTAAACAGGTTAGTGATAGACTATTGCTTTTTTGACATCCTGTTTTTTCCTTGCTCTTTTAAAAAATTTTAGCCGTTTGTTCCTCATCATATGCTTGATGTGTTCTTGTTTGGATATGCAGTATTATGCATTAGATATCACATACTTTAAATCTTCCCTTGATTGCCATCTCTTGGATCTACTATGGAACAAGTATTGGGTCAACACGCTCTCTTCTTCTCCTTTGCTCGGGAATGGGGATTATGTAGCTGGACAAATCTCAGATTTAGGTATTTTTTGCTTAGATATTTCTGTTGGTTGTCTACAAATGTTACTCCAAACAGTTATTGAATAGATCATGTTTCCTTCTGAGTACATCAACCAGCTCACCTAATTTCATGCAGCCGAAAAGCTGGAGCAAGCTGAAAATCAATTGGCTCATGCCCGTTTTGGACACTTAATGGCACCACCTCAGAGGAAGAAAGAGGTAGGTTAATTTTCCCAGTAATGAAATTTAATTCTGATAGAATGAATTTGAATTAGTTTCTTCTCTTACTTGCATTCTTTGACATTTAAAGCTGATACCTTTGAAGAAAATGGTGTGGTGTGTATCTGGTTACTTACTAGTCAACTAATGGTTTTGTTTTAATTTGCTTAACTGGCAATAGTAGGCAACCTATAATTGGTTTTCTCCAAACTGTTAGAATGTATGAAATTTGTACAAAGGAGCTTTGACATTTCCAAATGTTTCCTTTCTTCGGATCAGGATATTATTATTACCACATCTAGATGCACTTGTTATTTTGATGCTGTTTACTTGAGTGTGTTTGGCATTTCCATTGTTCATTATCATGTGGTTTTGCGGTGGGAGACCAAAGCATTAGTAATGTGAAGTGCTTGGCCATACTGCCTATGGAAATATAGCCTGCCTATGGAAATGGCTATATGCTGAACTGAGGAGACTCTTTTCTTAAATCATCTGATGGAAAATGTTATGTTTTTGTGGTGCACTAAGCACCTTTTTTCAGAACCCTTTGTTATGTTGTGCATGGACTTGCTAAGTGAAATACTTGCAAATGATTGATCAGAAATGCAATAAAGTTGAGGAAATATCTTTGCTTTTGCTACTTTTTTGGGGAAATACTTAGGCAGACAGTTTATAGCCTTACTTGTAGTCCATGTGGTATGTTGAGGAACCACATGGGTTTTTTTTGCATTAACATGTATCGGTCACCGGCACTTTTCTTTCATCATCATACATCAACATGACTATGTAGCTCTTGAATCCACTATATTGGCTTCAAGTGAGCCCATAGACCGGGCCTAATATATTTTTCTACTTATGTTTTTTAGTTGAACTGCATATACCCAAAAACCAGGATGTGACCTACCTTTTTTTTTTTTTTGTTTCCCATGCTTTGCTGGTCCTTCACAGAATGTGATATTGTTGGCAGGTATTTGTTGTAGTACTTCAACCGTTAACAGGATTCCCAAGAAAAAAATGGACATAAAAGTTCCAAGGACATTATGTTTGTGTCATATTGTTTTTAGTTTTTTTTCTTCTATTCGTCCTTTATTTGTGTTTTACTTCGAGCCTTCCCTTTCAAGAGTATAGTCAAGCATTCTTGTTTGCTGTAGTACCTGTAATGGTACATCAAACATTCACTATTGGCAACTTTTTTCCCCACTGTTGGCTACTTAATTTCAACAGTATCTTTGTTTTATTTGCCTGAGTTGCAGCATGATTCAATTTTATCTTTACCATTCCTGGAATTATCCAGCACGAGTTCATGAAGTATTAGTATTCTTCTTGATACATTCCACGATGATAAGACATTCTATGGATGTCAATTATAGACAATTTGCTATGGTGGTGCTTATAATCTGTTCTCAATTAATAAGAGCATAATTCGAGTGTTAGGACTGCAAATATCATGGCTTAATTTCTGCAGGTGTACCAATTGTAGATTTTAATTGAGTAATGTGGACTAGATCATGAACCTTGAGTTTTAAGGCATGGTGTCCATTGATGTGTTTTGAACGTTGGAAAACATGACATATAAGATTCTTCTTTACCATTATATCCACATAACATACATATTATTTAATGTTCACGACCTCAAAAAACCTGGCTTTGTAGCTCTTTATCTTTATTTTCTACATGCTTTATATTAATCTTTATTTATTTGTTATGATAGTGATCACTTGGGTTAGTTGTCTGGAGAAATATAACGAGTGAGATTTTTCCAAAAACAAGCAGTTACATGGAAAACCATTTAATGTGTTGTTCATAAGCTTTCGAAAAAACTTCAGCTGCTATTTTGACGTTCCAATCAATTGACAGGGCAGAAAGTTATAATGTACACTCTTCCAGTCTATTACCTTCATTCTTTTTCAAGCATGTGGAATAATTGTATGCAGTTAGTGCCCTTTCATTGGAAATGAAATGACTTTAACAAAAATTTTGGAGGACAGGTAGTATGGCAGATTTTACTTGTGATTTTTTCATTTGGTTTATTGGAAGTCCTGTAGACAGGGACTCATCACTCATCACTAATTCTCTTTCATTTTACAATACCTGTGTCTCTTTTTTATTTCTGTTAGTCTTCGTTTTATGTCTTCACAATGAGCAACAAATAACAAGTATTTAGCACAAGAGACTTTCTTCATTTGTATGAGATGCACATTGAACTTTGTTGTCATTTCGTCAAAAACAGGTAGCATTTGCTGGTTGAACAATTTGTCTGAAACAGAATTCTTGTTCATATTGGTATTTTCTTTTTTTGATGTATGTTGGGAGTCTAAATGTTGTGCTTGCTTTGATAATTGGCTTTTGCTAGTATAAAAAGTATTCTCATTGTATGCAAATTTTCTTGCAGGAAGAATCTCAACTTGCTAAAATTACTCGTGATAGTGCAAAGATAACTGTTGAGCAAGTTCATGGTTTGATGTCTCAGGTCTTCCTCTGAAGTTATCTAACTTTAATTGGGTAACTACTGCATACAATACTTTGTGGTATTTCTTGACTCTGAAAAACTTTTTTGTTGCGTTGTTATAGGTCATTAAGGACATTCTTTTCAACACTGTTCGTCAATCAAACAAATCTCAAACAAAGTCTTCAGGTCCTGATCCTATGGTTGAAACCTGAGCAAGTGATTTGTAGGAATTTGTGTTCACCATGCTTATACTGATGCTGCTATGGTCTTGATAGAATTTTGATTGACATATCTGATGTTATTGGTACCTAAACGTTGATGTTAGTGTGACAGCAGACCTGACGATAAATTTTTTTAACGAACGTACTAGTTATGATTTCCATTGAATTCCTTGTTTTGTCATTAGATGATTAGCATATCTTGCTCATTTCTAAGCATGTTCAAAAGTGCCTGGGCCTTCGTAAATTTCTTACCTTTTTGGGCCATTGCTTGTGTCCATCACCATTGTGCTAGGTATGTGTAATTATATATTTAACCTTTTTTATTTTACATATATACACACAATTAAATACGTCTAGGAAACTAACTTGTCACTTAAACCATGGCAAGAGTAAATTCAAGAGTGCATTAATTAACTTGTCTTTGGAATCAATATATAATTGACCCGGACCGCATACGTCAAGGAAAGGGAAATGTAATTTAACAAATCCAAGAGATGTTATGCAACATTAAGTATACGCGCAAGGAGACAGGCTAATATCAAAAAAGGGCTCATTATTTCCCTTACTTTTGGTATATAATTTAGGGTTAAATGCAGAAAATCCCCATGAACTTTCATAGCCATTGCACAATACACCCCGAAATATGTTTATAGACAATTTGCACCCAAGCTTCACTAAAAAGTAACGGATCTTTACACACGGTGATATTTTATCACTCAAATGACAACTTTATCCTTAAATAATAATTGAACGGACAAAAGCACCCTTGTCCCAATCAACCAAGTATTCATCAACTAACTCTTCGACAGATCTAGCAGACAAGGGATGAAAGTTATCACTCCATTCAGAAACAAACCCATTAACCACAGCCCACTTTTCATCTTCGCTCATTTTCCTCCATTTCTTCCCAGCTTCTTCAACTTTCGAGCCCATGTAGCTGCTCAACTCATTAAACAAGAGTTCTCTACTCTTATTCAAGGCCTCCGCTCTTTGTACGATTTGAGAGTTCAATTTTTCAACCTCTCTGGCCAACTTTAATTCAAGCTCTGCATCACTCAAGTTGTTGTTGCCGCTGGTGCATGAAATCAAGAATCGAAGCCTCAACGATGTGTTGATGAGCTGGGCCCTTGAGGAAGAATACGAGAGGAATGGATTGGTTTGGAGTTTTGGGAATCGTTGAAGGGGTCTTGGGGCGAAAAGATTAACTCTCAAGGACATTGAGAAAAATTTATGGGTTTAGATCTCTAATACTGAGAGTTAGAGGCTTGATTTGATCTTGGGCGGTATTTCATGAAATTTCTGAGAGATTCTTGATTTGAATCGGTGTCAAGCGGTTCACCTTCGATTCCTTCCGGCACCGGCAGATGGAGCAATTTTGTCAAATAATAATTTTCAATCCAATGGAGCTGACAGGTAGGCCTCCTAAGCCCCGTAACGTGCACATCAGATTTCCAGCGAATGCAATAAAAGAAATATACAATACTCTCTAACTCGGCCGAATCAAGAACCACTAGTGCAGAGATGCTCTCGGCAGAATCAGATTTGCTTTCAGACGATTATTGCATGTACGATGTATCATGGGATTTCAAAGTATTGACGGACAAAGGGCAAGATGTATTAATTAGAACTCAGTTAAAGAATAAATGAATCATAAACAACAATAAATTAGTTATGTGTTGTGGATGATACAGATCAATCCAATCTAAGTTTCATCTCAGCTATCAACCTATGTAGCTTTTGCTTGTTCACCATCTCTATTTGCATCTCCAGCAGCCTCATCCCCAGAAAGTAGATAATGAAGGGAACTGGAAAATATTTCACATGACAATGTGCTCAAGGTAAGTCTGGTTACATTCCTATCCCTACCCAAAAATGAAAGCAAAACGGGATAAAGAATAATAGTTCTTATATTGTTCCTTCAGACTCCGTAGCTGCTGCATGATGGCGCTCTGCAAAAACCTCAACAATCTGATGTTGCAGTGATTCCTGATTTGTTGAGCTTCTATAAATATTCCACCTTGTTTTAGATTCTTCAAACCGTTATTTTTCCACTTCTAGTCACCCTCTGCAGTGATTCCGCTTTGCTTCTTTCTCGATCGCGAGAAAAAAGCAAAAAAATTTGACAAACTCAAGAATTTTGGCAGTGAAACTAATGTTCAGACTTTCTCTTTGCCTAGTACTTTCCACCCAATATAATGGGTTTGATTGGGACGGAGGGTGCTTTTGTCCATTCAGTTATTATCTGAGGATAAAGTTGTCATTTGTGTAATAAAGTATCACGGTGTGTAAAGATCTATTACTTTTTAGTAGAGCTTGAGTGCAAAGTGCTTATAAACATATTTCGGGGTGTATTGTGCAATGGCTATGAAAGTTCAGGGGGTTTTCTGCATTTAACCCTATTATTTATGCCACTTTAATCTTATACTTGGGGAGAGTTGGGCAGAGTTGGATTGGATGATAAGGTAAAAGGAATTGAAATTAAAAAATTTTAAGTTTAAAAGCTCTCATTTATAAAAAAAAAGGTAAAAAAGAAGAAGAAAAATTAGGTCATTTAACTGTAATCTTACAACGGCTGTGAATGCTAATGACCCTTAACTGGCTGAAATATTTGTTATGAAAAGGCATAAGTGCCCTTCAGACTTGACGCTGTTTGCCGTATAGATCTAACGTGTGGCATGTTCTGAGATGTAGCCCTATCTTTCGCGTCACTTCAGTCCATATGCTCCAATTTGAATTCTTAGCTTTAAAAAGCTAAGCCATGAAATTGTGGAAAAGAGCGCGTGATCCATCTCCGGTTGATTGGGAAAAAAAAAGGAAAAAGAATAAACTTTGAAAAGAAAAATAAAACACATTGCCTGCTTCTTTGAAAAAAAAATGTAAGAAAGAAAGAAAGATTACAAGTATTAATCATCATAGAACATGCAAAAATGCATCCACCTCATACCAAAAAAGAGCTAATTCTTATATCACACTCAATTTGTGAATGCATAACCTTTTTGGAAGAAATACAATTTTGGCCCTTTATATTGGTCTATGTGTAAATCCATATCCTAATAATTCAGCCAAAACAATTACAATTTGTAAAGGTTTTAATTTTAGGTAAAGTAAGATCAATAGAAGTTTAACAATGGCTAATGCCCAATACCAACTTGATGTTGGACAAAACTTTTGACTTTGTATTTTATATATTATTACTAATGCTCAGAGTTCAGATCACTACGATAATCTAGGTTTCTAACAATGATAGTTAGGAATTCAATGTCAATGTCTTTTAGGCTCAAAAAACAATGTCGATGTCTTTTAGGCTCAAAAACGGAATGTGGATGTGTTTTTCCTAATAATCCAGAACCTAGAGAAGCTAATCTAAAAGTTGTTCTGATCACATCTAAAAACTCGATAATGAGTTTTTCTTGAAGATAATCATATTGCCTCATGTTTGGTACGTAAGAATAGTGTGGAAAGGAAAGACCGTTCCAACTTATCCATTCCATTCCAAATTTGGTATAGATTTAATGAAATTTATATTTTATATTGGTAATTTTATATTGGTAATTATAGCAAGAATATATATCGCTAGTGTATGGATTGATTAGTTTGGTAATTACTATCTTTCTAAACATATTATAATATTGTTAGTATTGATCTATAAATCTAGATCGGTATGATGAACATAGAACCTGTGATTACCGACTACGGGCCCAGACAGTAAGAGTTGGGGGCCCAGTAAGACCTGTAGGGCTATTGAGGTTCCCGTGGTCTACGATCCAGGGCAGTGAAGTGTTCAAAAAAGCAGATCTAGCTTTCTGGATCTATACTACGTTTCTTATAGTTTGCTTGGAAATATAATAGTTACTGATAGATAACTTGTCTCAAAAGTTCAGATCCAACATTTCAAGATCCATACTAACTTTATTATAATCAACTTAGAAACATTTGGATTACAAGATTTTCAAAGAAAATTTCAAATTTTGTTTTGCTTGCATTATGCACACAATTTTTAACTACCTTTTTATCTTACATATATCACATCACAAAAAAGTGCTACAGTAATAATCTCAAATAAATATTTCAAATAACATCTTATCCAAACAAACCCATAGTTATTCTTCATGGATCCCGAAGATCCCGAAGGATTCTGTGCCAAAAGGAAAAGGATTATAAAATTGCTTGTTTATCAGTTCTATCTATTTCTCATGGCTTCCCTTTTCAGAACAAATTCTAGTTTTCTCAATTCCTCCCCAAACACGAAACCAATAGATGATCAACAAGCTCGAATTGCTCGTATTGAACAATCAATCCTCCTCTAAACAAAGAATCTAAAAAAATAAACCTCCTGAATTCGAAATTCACAAGCAAAAACTTAGATCTGGATTCTTGACAAACTACAACAGCTTAAAAGAAAATAATTTTTTGACAAATATCAAAGAGAAAACCGAAGAGCAATACAAGAAGCCTTCTATGACTTCTTGAGAAAAACAAAATAACATATCCGTTTCTTTGATCGGTATGAATATCAGACAACTCATGTATCTACACTAGAGTCCACAGATCCACCAAAACCCTTGAATCATAAGTCTATATTAGAATCCATAGATCTACCAAATTCTCTAGTTCAGGAAGCTATACTAGAACCTATGGATATATCAAACCTCACGATACCCAACCAACCAATAAACAATTCTGATTACACCATTAACCTTAAAAAACAAGAAATAGATAAAAATATAGAGGAGCCCATATTTAATGTTTTAATCAGATCCCAACCTTTTACCAAACCTATAATTATTAGAGATCTTCAGGCAGAGATTGCTTCTCTTAAACAGGAAGCTAGACAATCGAGACTACAACCCAACCTACTACTGAAGATCCCTCTCAACCAAACATGATATCTTACAAAAGCATTTTGTTTTAATAAGATTAGTTACCAGTAGTAATTACATTGCAGAGACAGAAGATTTATTTGATATAGGAGCAGATCTTAGCTGTATTCTGGAAGGTCTTATTCCAACAATGTTCTTTGAGAAAACAAAAGAAAGTCTTAGAGGAACAAATGGTTCCCAGTTAAACATTCAATTCAAACTCATAGATGTCCAAGTCCAGTTTTCATCCGTATCCATTAAAGAGACACTCCTCCTTGCAAAAGACATAACCAATAATGTCATATTTGGTATCACCTTTATCGCCAAACTTATTCCATACTTCAAAATTTAACCACTAATGAAGGCATTATACCCCAAACTTATGGCCAGGATGCTCTCCTACCCTTCTCCAGAAAGACAGTCCAAAAGACACTAAATTATCTATTCCTCAAACAAAGCCAAATCAATTTCTTGAAAGAAAAAAATTGTTTATAGAAGAATAGAAGAACAACTTCAGCAGTCAGAAATTCAACAAAAAATCCAGAGTCTACAAATTCAAGTGCTGGATTGTGCAGAAGTCTCAAATGCCTTCTGGGTGAGAAAACAACACACTATCTACCTTCTCTATGAACCTGACCTTGATAAAAAGAATATTTCAACAAAGGTAAGACCCATACAAATGAATCAAGAATTACTCCAACATTGTCAAAAGGAGATTAATTGATGACCTCCTGTATAAAGCAATCATTAGTCCAAACCAATTCCCGTGGAGCTGCCTAACATTCTATGTCAAAAAGCAATCAGAAATCGAAAGGGGGGTTCCAAAATTTGTAATTAACTAAAAAGCCTTGAGTAAAACTCTTCAATGGATCAGATATCCAATACCGAATAAGAAGATACTTCAAAGGTTTATTCCACCAAAATATTCTCCAAATTCGACATAAAGTCAAGATTCTGGTAAATACAAATCCATATTTCAGATAGATACAAAACAGTATTCACAATACCATTCTGGCATTATGAGTGGAATGTAATGTCATTCGGTCTAAAAAATGCATTGTAAAAATTTCAAAGAATCATGAATGAGATATTTATCCCTCATTCTTCATTCATCATCGTTTACATTGATGATGTCTTGATGTTTTCAAATAATATTGAACAATACTTCAAACACCTAAACACCTTCCTTCATGTTAGCCAAAAAAATGGTCTAGTTGTATCCCAAAAGAGAATAAGTTTTTTCCAAACAAAAATTAGGTTCCTTGGATATCATATTCACTAAAAAAAGTATTACCCCCATAAATAGGTCAATCCAATTTGCTGATAAATTTTTTGACCAAATTCTTGACAAATAACAACTCTAGAGATTTTTGGAATATTTAAACTAAGTCTCAAACTTCATTCCGAATCTCAACAATCTAGCAAAACCTTTATACGATAGACTAAAAACTTCTCCACCTCTGTGGACAGATACTCACACAGACACTATTAAAAAATTAAAAATCAAGTCAAAGCTATTCCTTGTTTAGCCCTTCCAAATCCAACGGCTCCAAAAATTATAAAAATAGATGCTTCTAATTTAGGTTATAGTGGTATCCTTAAACAAGTAAAGGACAAAAAGGAACAAATAATTGCTTTTACTTCTAAACATTGGAATAATTCCCAACAAAACTATTCTACTATTAAAAAAGAAATTTTAGCAATAGTTTTATGCATTACAAAATTCTAAGTAAAGTTACTAAACCAAAAGTTCCTACTTTAGGTTGATTGTAAGTCAGCCAAAAATATTTTACAAAAAGATGTTAAAAATCTTGCCTCTAAATAAATCTTTGCAAGATACCAAGCAATTTTATCAATTTTTTTATTTTGACATCGAATATATTAAAGGATTTTCAACTCTATTCCTGATTATCTAACTCATGAATTCTTGCAGGAAAGATAAGATGCCCAGAAAGAGGAAATAGCAAGAAAATAAACCCATAGACAAACCAGAACCATCCCAAACAATTAGACCAGACTCTCCATGTTCATTCAACTCATTCCAAACATAAAAGAAATTCACTCCAAACGTTCCTTCAAATTCAAACGAATTTCAAATCCTCTCCTCAACCCAACCTGTATCCATGGTTACCCCTAAAACATGGGCTGACCTAGCTGAAGAAAAAGATGAGAAACAAGCATACTATGACCATCTCAAATAATGGGCTGAATCACTAGAATATCAGTCTAAATCAATAGAATACCCTATCTAAGATACATAAACTCATGTCAAAATAGTCTTGCCCTAAAATGTCAAACCCAAAATATTCACTATCCGTGAATCCAAAACTATAGTTGCACCTGAACCAAAACCCCAAAAAATTTAAACAACTACATCAAACAAAATTTCTAACCAATATATCAAATCCAACACATATATAGCCATGGTCCAAATAGAGTTTGATTATTGACATGATGATCTAAACACTTTAAGCTGATCCATTCTTCCAACAACCTACAACTACATACATATGTTTTTAAACTCGAACCGAACCGACCTG